TAGAAAGTACAGATATTTGTGTAAAAATGTAAGGAGTAGAAGTAAAAAGTTGCCATAAAAATAAGTAGTAAAGTAAAGTAAAAATATCAGAAAATCCTACTTGAGTACATCTCTGGTTATGAGAGAGGGGGGGAGACATGCAGGAAATAACCACGGGCCGGATTCAAACCTGGTTCGCCCTCCTTGAGGCCCAAGGCCTACATACATGGGTTGTGCGGTCTAACCACTGCGCCACCAAAGCACACCCTTAGTGATGTATTTTATTTATTAGATATGTTAAAGCCCTAAATACAATATAAACAAATAATTGGCCTGTACTTATAAAGTGCCTTTTTAAGTCAAGGAACTCCAAATTATTTTACACTTGGCCCAGCCAGCCAGACTGATACGACCTTTCCACAGTGTATTAGTCTGGTAAAGAGCTGGTAGAGCTCGATTTCAAAGGTGGGACTAACAAACAGATCTGGTTAGAACCAATCAGATAACTACAGATGTGCTGCAAAAACTCCAAACACGTTCTGTTTTTGTAATTTTGTAGTCGGTGAGAAACGTTAAACTTTTGAGGTACTCTCCAGTGAACAATTTCTGACTGTTTTGCGAAAAACTCTGAGGATCCAAAGCTCTGTTTTGGTCACCACCTTGTTATTATGCTAGCAGAAAAGTGCTGCTGCATTATGGGTCTTGCATTCTAGTATTCCGCCTCCTGCGCTGTGATCGGTCCAGCCAGATCTGACCGCCATCAACAGTGGTTTACCACAATGAATTATGCTTTGTGCAATTCAGTCTAGTTTGCCAGGCTACTGTAATGTACATTCAGTCATTCAGTCAGTTACCCTGGGGCACACTGACAGAGCCAAAGCTGCCATACACAGGTGACTCTGACCAGTTTGTCCTGCAACCAGATGGAGAAATTGTCTAGAAACTGAATGTGGACCTTAGTTTGTGCAGTTCCAACATGTCTTCCTCTTAAGTTCTGAAGAGTATGTATAATAATCTTGATACTGATACATTTATGATAGGGAAATAAACTGTGATTCAACATAATGTGTCAATGTTACCCTTAAAAAAACTACTGTTATTAGAACAAATTCTAAGTTAAGTTCCTCTTCTCATCTTGCTTATAAAGGAAATGTACATTTAGTTCTTTCCCCTCATTTACTTTTCTCCCCGCTCACTTCTTTCGTCCTGTTCCTGTTTGATAGTCTGATTTCACATTCTTGCTTTCTGACCCCTTTTTGTTTTCCAACTGTTTCATTCTCCTTTACTTGTTTTTGTCAACCAACTAAACCACTTTAAACCTAGAGATTGACAGTCCTTCATCCATCTTCAGGCATCTAGTCCCTGTATTTAGCTTTAACAGTCTTCTTTTGGATGTTTTTTTTTTTTTTTTTACCTGGGAACACAATAAATATAGCACAACCGTTTTTATTTTTGTAAATCCCAGACATAATTAAACTTAAAACATTATCTTTTCCAATGTTATCAGGGGAACAGAGAAAAACAGACTAAAAAGGAGAGAAGAAATATGGATGGAAGCTTCACACTTTCAAAATTCCTGAATCAAAATCAAAAGAGAAAAAGTGATGATTGTGTGGAGAATAACAGCTGTAACATTACCAGAAACTTTTCGCCCCAAGCGGTGAAACCACCCATACTTCCTGTTGTTTCTCTTTTTTTTTTTTTTAGCTTTCCTGTTTTAAAGGTTGAGATATGTAATCCCTACCCACCACTGAGGATGAACAGAGCATTCTTCAGCAGTATGACCGTCACCAGGTTTTCTCTTGTGTTTTCTGTCTGTTTAGTGACTCTTCTTGTTTGGGGTAGGTGACATTTTTTAATCATCAATTTCTTTATTACTGTGCAGCTGTCCTTTTTTTGTTCTAAGATTAATTTTTGATCAGTGACACTTAAAAAATTCAGTTGCTGACGCATTTAGAAAGAAGCTAAAGAAATGTTAAGTGAATAAACCATCAGTATTTATTTCTTAGTTTAGTAAGGTTTATGCTAAATATGTCTAAATGTCCTTGAGATGACTGTATTAGGACTTCCTTAAAGAAGTGGGAGACAAAAGGAGGATGCACTGGCTCCCCACTGCTTGAACCTTGCTATTTCCTTCGTCCACAGCATTTTCTCACATGTTGGAAAAAGGTCTAAACAATATGTTGATGAAAAATTGATTCAGCAACTCTTTAATTCAACAGTTAGAGTTTCAATTTTAAGATGACTACATTGCTTTGCTGTGCTGAATTTTGCATTTCCTTGATGCAGGATGTACTACAGGGATTTGTCTGGTTAATGACAATGTAACCGCACAACCAGTTACGACAGCAACAACCACAGGTATAGATTTGCAAAAAAAGCCTCCCAAATGAATAGCATTACATTTTTTTACTCAACAAATCTCTTTTAACAGGTTATAATGCAACGCAAAGAATGGATAGAGGTAAGAGTTACTTTTCTTTTAGCTGTTTGCTGTGTATCTGTATAACCCTAATGAATTTAAATGTGTTGGAAAAGAATTTGATATATATATTTTTTAAGATGGTTATAAACTTTAGGATTTTCTGCTGTTTAGGAACCAGAGCCCCAGATTATCTCACTATCACCATTTTGTTTAACTGTCTGTAAGATGTTTACAAAAAAGTCTATCTTACTTCTTAATCAAATGTAAATTGAAGCAGTGTCTTCTTGCAATGTCTCTTCTTTCATTTCTTTAGCCTGGTGCATAATATGTTAACTTTTGAGACCATTTAGCCTATTTCACTTTCAGAGACTTCTATAGAGGCTTCTTTAGGCCCGACAGGAATCAAGCCGGGGTTATAAAAATTAAATCAGCAATTTTCTACTTTTCCTTTGTTTTTTTCTCATATTTTTTTATTATGTTTTTATGTTATGTAATGTTAAGTATTTAATCTAGTTTGACCATTTGAAAATATTTAATTTTTGACAAACAGAAGACATGTTAAAAGGGTAAAACCTTTGTTTTTGTCCATTTTCTTTACTTAAGTAAAACTATGCTACATAATCATAGTTTTACTCAAATAAGAGTAAAAATTGTATTTGGTCAAAAGGCAACTCAAGTACTGAGAACTGATCTACTTAATAGCCATGAACATAGCAACTGATTTATTATTTTATTAGTTATAGAATGTACAAAAATCTAAAGTTTCACTCAACCTGCAAATGACATGGCAGACACAACAGATGGAAAATAACATTTATCCAATAAGCACACAAAAATAAGAAAATGTGCCTCTAAATGTTGCATTTGCTTGTTTTGGCAAAGTGAAGTTACTCACAATGGATGGAGTCGCCAGAAGTTTACTCAAGTAAGAGAAATAATACTTAATATGTAAACTCAAGTAAAAAGTAAAATGCTGTAAAACTACTACTTAACGTACAATTTTTTCAAAAACTTACTCAAGAAAATGTAACTGAGTAAATGTAAATATTTATTACCCACCTGTACTTATTCTTACCTATTACCTGAAGAATATAATGAAATGAAAAAATATGCAAAAAATCTTTTTCCCTTTCATTGAAGCACTCTATCTTTACCATTCCTAAACATGAAATCTAAAGATTTTAAAGAAATGAGTTGGAATGCAACAACATGAAATAGATGTAATATGTTATATAGTTTCAGACGGTGAGTGTGGAAATGTTTTTTGTGGGGACTTGTTTTGGATTCATTCTTAGAAATTATTAGTTTGGCCTGGAACAAACAGAACCCAGAAAACAGATCTCCCAGACTTTGTTTTCTGTAGGGACATCTCCTGGTGTGTTTTGTCAAAAGGATCCAAGATAAACTCCTGAGGAGGTCTCCAACAGAGGGGTCACCAGCAGTAGACGTGAGGCCCATAAAGGCTTCAGGGTTAGGGGTTAAATGAAACCTCATTACACCCTCCCTCACCAACTCCCCCCCACCCCCAACTGGATCGACTTCCTGACTTTGTTCGTCATTCACCCCATGCAACGTCAGAGATCAACGCATGAACTCGAAATTGTGAAACAACTGGAACTTGGAGCAGAGCCCCTTTCACTGTTCCTCATCCTGTGCCTTACTGTTTTTTTTCTTTCCCCAACTGTCCCTCCACCCCTTTCTCCTGCCAACACTCCCGACTGCGGGCTCCTCCTCAGCTGAACAGACACATTTCCTGATGTCATTAGTAAATCAAAATGCTGCTCAGCCAGCAGATGTTGCATGAGGTTGAACACGTAGATTTTGTAACATAAATGTAAGGCGGGAAAAAACATAGTTCTTTTGTTAAATTAAGGACCACCTACCTGTGTGTGTGTGTGGTCTTGTTTTACCTACAATGTGAGGGAAGTATTTTACATATGTATTTTTACATATAGGGACATTCAACTGGTGCCTATATGGTAAATTTCTGTTCTTTGAGTTGGGGTTAGGTTTAGGACTAATGTGTGAATTCAGTTTAGGTTAGGATTAGGTACACCTTGGTAACAGTTAGGGTTAGGGTAAGGGTCTGGGTTAGGCCATATAAAATGAATGCAAGTCAATGAAATGTCCCCATATGTCATGAAAAGAAAGCTGTGTGTGTGTGTGTGTGTGTGTGTGTTTGTGTGTGTGGGTTGTCATCTCTATTCAGCTGATGCTTTTATTGCGATAAAAAAACGTAACAAAAAAAACACCAGTTTCATTTAAAGGCCTTTTTAGACATGTGGTAATTTCTGAATAACACCTTATGTCACATTAACCTAAATATGAAATTAAGGCTGTCTGCACAGCACACCCTGCAGAGTCATGATTAAATCCACTCCAAAACGCTGAGTCCTAAATGTTTACTTATGTTTCCTATTTGGCAGAGGCAGCCCAAAAGGCAAATAAATCACATGCTGTGCGCTGGCCAGGCCTTTTTCGACTGTGAGAAACTGAGACTAAAAAGCAGAACAAGAGTTAAAGAGTAAAGGGTTTTCAGATGTGAGTCCAGCCCCAGCTTGGGTGTGCTCCTTTTATTTGTGAGAATAGAGAGGACAATCTTTTCTGCCTCCACCCCTTTAAAAAAAAGGAAGAAAAACCTAAAAAAAAAAAAAACAACAAGAAACCGTGTGTTGGAGAGGGGAAGAGCTGCTGCCAAGGCACAGGGCCATCAGACAGATCTTCGAAGAACATCTGCTAACCGCGGGTAACATTGTTTGGACATCTGGTAACCGAAGATAACCCTGTCGCGTTTCCTGTTATGCCTCGCTGTACACAGTTTGAGAGCTTCATCATTTGGGAAAAAGGCACCTTTATTCATTTTTTTCTGACATGAAGGGAGCTGTTGGTTTCATTGGGATATTCCTGTCCTTTTTCTCTGGTGAGTGTGTGGTCTGGTCTCCCTTCCACAGCTGCAATTGTCTGACTAAAAGTTGCTTTAGAAGAATTTCTGTGCTAAAACTGATAAGAGTCACAAAGAGTGAATGGAAGTTTATCCTCTCTGCATAAAGGATGGTGAAAGTAAATTATTTAATCATTAATGCTTTTTTTTAAATCTCTTATCTAGAGGTCTCTGAAGGGGGCCCGCTATCATTCGGTAGGTGATATAATTTTTACAATGCAAATGTGAAATTATAATTTAGAAATGCAATATTTCAGGTAAATAAGTCATTATATTACTCACTTCTTGTATTCTCTTTAAATATTTTTTCCCCTTTTCTGTATTTAATTCCAAATGGTGCAGATTGTGGAACAAAGTACCCTGAATGCGACGTATATTGCAGCATCTGTCAGGATTATTATGGAAACCCAACAATGAATTGTCTTTCTGATTTATATAAGCATTGTTTGCAAACGTTTACAACAGAGATGAGCTCACTAAACACTACTGACTGGTGCGTTTGGAATAAAGTGAGCAGGTAATCTTACTTCCAAGTCACTAATTTTTTCATCCAAGATGTTGCAATTTCTTTGCTGATATCATGTCCTTTCCAATCCATCCTTGTTACAGCTTTTACAGCAACTTCAGCCATTGCAGTGAGTCCATGGCTGATTGTCTCCTAATCCCATGGCCAAATTCGCTGGTCGAAAGGTTTTTCGTCGAAATCCATTCAAAGTTTTTCAAAGACTGCCCCACAGAGGAGTTCAGTGACCCACCACCTGCCATAATGTTCGCCCTGGTGATTACTCCCATCTGCCTCATACCTGTTATGGTCAGCCTGGTGGTGCTCAAGACCAAAAATGGAGATGGCAACTCCTGATTGCACACTAAATATACAATACCTTTTATAATCTCTTTTTTCCATTCTGAAAACTACGTTATCTTGCCAAGATTGCTGCTAGGTCTTCTTCTCTCAAACAATCCCACAATCATCTCAGTTTCTCTGAACTTAATGGAGTTCAAACTATGTCTGGCAAGTTATAAACTTCTGCGCTAATGAAATGATCATTGTACTGTGGAGTAACAAGTTGTCATTTACTGTATTTAGACTTAATAAGGAAGGTTTAAACTTTTCAATGTGTGATGAGTTGTTATCAGCTGTGTGTGCCTTACCTGTGGTGAACAATGATCAGAGCTCCTCTATAAGAAACAAGTATTTGGACCATCAAAAAAAAATAGATTTTTTTTTTTATCTTGAAACAAATCCCGTCTTTAAAATGTACAACATCTCATTAGAAGTATTTAGATTTTATTTTAACTGAAAAATCTATCAGTATTTACATTTAAAACAGTACTGCTCTGTATTTTCGAAAAACAGCATTTGCAAAGAAACACATATTAGAAAAAGACATAACTGGTCTTCTTATATTTTTTGTGATACTAGCAGTTTTAAGATTAAAGAGATATATTTTTCTATACTGGTTCCACTTAGCCTGAAGTTTAGCAAGAAATTCTGAACGAAACTTTTTTATCTCTACCTTTTTAAAACACTGACTGCTCCCACTTTCTCTAAAGAGCCCATTTTTAGCTTCCCCAAACCTAAAAAAATTATTTCAAAATTATGCTTTTTTAAAAAATCAAATTAGTGGCCAAGTTGTTTTCTATTAGTTCTAAAAAAACTGGATTATTTGAGTTCCAGCACAGAAATGCAACAAAAAAGCTGCAGTATGTCAGAATCTCTGTGTAGCTTCCAGTTCATTTTACATAGTTGCATATATACAGTGAAAAAAAACATGTATTTATAAACAATAAGATTAAATACAATTTCAATTCAAAAATACTTTAGTAATCCCAAAGGTAAATTAAGTCATTAATAATATGTCATGTCAATTAAATGTCAGGTTATGCTCCATTAAAGTTTAAATGTGAAAAAAATTGGAGGAAATATACCATTATCACCTCATATTACTGCAACTGGTTAATGTTAGAACATTTAGCGAAATGGCAGGGGTTTTTGCAACTCTTCTATAATGTGCTGTCATCCCCCAGATCCAGCCTCCGAAACAAATGGGACGCAGCAAGAATACTGCATCAACCAAAACCAGCAATTCCTTCTGGAAAACAAACTTAATATATAGCAGAAACAATATATTCAGTGTTACTGATGATGACAAAAGCTTCAGAGCTTGCCAGTTTAAAAATAAAGTTATAGTTTTAATGACTTTCCTTAGCATTACCTGTAAAGATTTTTTCTTTTTGTTAAATTATAAAGAATAATTTTGAGCTGTTAAAACTGAACTCTGTTCTCCCCCTAGTTTGATCTATGCTTGATGTAAAAGTGTGTTGGGAGGACCTGGAACTGATAACTGTTGCATAGATTAATTGGACGGAGATTAGGGGTAGTAGGTTAAAAGTTAAATGGAGTGACAGCTAAGATAAATCTCCAGTTTATAGTTTTCTTTCAACAGTAAGAACTTTGCCTGCCTATTAGAATCATAGAGAAAAAAACTTAATATTTATCCAGACTCAGACAAAACTCTTTCATTGTTTGTGCAGATAAGTTCTATACACTGAGCGATGACAAAAAGATCAAGTTAAGTTTCTTTGCTTGCAAAATGAAAGCGTGGGTATGGGATTACTTGTGCATGACAGTAAAGCCACATTAAGTGCTTTCAGATTTAGAAATAAATAGATATTTCGAAGCTTTATTTTATCTTTGTTGTTGATCAAAGGGATGTACTTTTGGTCTGAAAGAATACATTCATTCTGTTCTCATACCATGTACTGCACAGATGTCTGTATGCTTTTTTGTCTTGTAAACTATTAAATCTACATTTTTGTATTTTACAGTTTCTGGTGGTTTACTTATTTTGCTGTAACGTTTATGTATAGTAAGATACATTCTGGGTCAAAGTCATGCTTTTAAGAACATCCTGATAGGATTGCTGCATCATTCTGTAGAAAGTTTTCTGTCAACTTTGTCTGTGTTTGACAAACCACCACATATGGCCACATCCCCCTCACAGGTAGTGTTTCATGATAGCTTCAGTAAGCAGTATATCATGCTGCAATTTCTGTACTGTGTGAACCCTGATGTATGTAAGGAAGCCATGACAGCAGACATGTGTCACAATCATCAGGCACACACACATCCTGCACACACACTGAACTGTGGGCCTCTGTTTTATTTAATGTGTGTGTTCTGGTGTGGGTGGGCTGGGTTGTGTGGGAACATGTGCTTAGTGACCTGTGTTCCTGTCTAGATATGGGGTCATCCTCTCCAACAGACCCCACCCCCCTGATCTCATCCAGCTTCGTGTCCCTCCCTATTGTTTCAGCGAACAACCTTCAAACTTTATTATATACAATAAGATGCGGAAGTCTACATTTTCTAAGGTATATATCAACCTTCTTATCACAAGACAGCATCTGCATGTTTTTTATACATTAGCCAACAAAACCAAGATGGATTATAAAACTCTAGAGCTGTAAAACTTTGCCCTCTTGTGGCGTTATGCAAAATATATAAGTATGAGATCAATTTACAGTCATTAGTACAAACTTTATGAAACATTGAAACCTATCTCATATTTTTTACAATAATTTTCCATTTTACAATATAAAGTAATTTGCTCTCTGCAAAAGTAAACATTTTAGAAGAGCCATTTGTTCTCAAGGTCACATTATATAATAAAAAAACTAATAATTTAAGTATAATTATTTAATTGGAAAAGTGCCAAATTAGGAAGAAATGGATTCTATCAAATGAATGTTGCTGGTATTTTATAATTCATTATTTAATTTGTATAAGTTGGTTCTGAGAGTCTTACAGCTTTTAGTTAATGATATATTGGTGTGTACATATAATGTGAGATAGAGGCCCATTTCTATTTGCCATTTAAAATGAAAGATGGACAAATATTCAATTCAAGAAATTCTGATTTTGGGAGACTTAGTCAAGAAATAATCAGG